TGCAGTGTTGTGTGCTCAAGCATACCCCAGCTGACACTTGTCGTGACGAGGTTGGACAGTAAACCAATCATTGAAAAATATTTTTATTTCCTGTATAATCATATCATAACACAGTTCTCATCAAAAAATATCACGGCTGTTAAGTTCTCGTTAACTCAGAAAGTTGAATTTTACTAAAATCTGTCACAGCATGGCATCCTCAACTCTGTAATGCTGATTTATTACAAATTTCATCCAGAAGTAACTACTTATTAAAGAATAAGACTAATATAATAAAAGGAGCACACCTTCAACAAAACTGTTTTATTGCAGCCAATTCCTGTAAGAATAAAATCTTTTAATCGAAGTGCATATTTGTTCAATCAAGCCATAAGGAGGATGCAGGAATTATTATATTGGACTTGTCAAAGGCGTCAGACATCCATTCAGCAAATGTTTGCCATGTCGCGGAGATAAAATCTTTAGTTGACTTGCCACTCAAACAGGAGGCGTGAGCAAAACACATTGTAATCTCAATATAAAGAGCTGTCAAGTTCAGTGTGGCCATTACCTGCTTTGGTAACAGCAAGCCCACAGCAGCAACCATGGGGTGGCGAAGGGTTTGGTTCTGTGTCCTTGCATTGTCTGTTGCCAGTGTCATCGATGTTCAAGCCAGACTGGGTAAGACTCAGGTTGTTGTGGATGATGTCTGGATTGATCATTCTTTTTATTTATATATACAAATGAAGCACTGTCTCTGATATCAGTCACTTGGAGCATTTAGTAACTCAAACTGTTTTCTACACTTTAAAATTTTCTCTAGTACGCAACCATGTCAGCAGCATCTGCAGCACATGGGGCAGAGAGCACTTCAAAACGTTCGACGGTGATGTTTACCAGTTCCCTGGTATGTGTGAGTACAACCTGGTCTCCGACTGCCACGAGTCCTACCAAGAGTTCTCTGTGCATCTGAAGAGAAAGGACAATGATGGAAACCCTACAGTCAGCCATGTGGTGGTCACCATCAATGAACTCCTCTTCTACCTCATCAAAGACATGGTCATTGTGAATGACAACCCGTAAGTAAAACATCATATAACATGTGAAAGCAGCTGTACTTCTCTTATTTAATAATGTTTGTGCATTATAATGATACAATAATGTATTTTTCCCCAGTGTCAAACTGCCATACCACAGTGCAGGGGTACAAGTGGAAAGAAATGCTGTGTACTTTAAGCTCCAATCTAAAGTCGGCATCACCGTCATGTGGAACGGAGATGATGCAGTCATGGTATGAAACTCTTGGCAGAAATCTATCTACGCAGCTCTTCTTAA